TACAAGGGGACTTATTCAAAGTACAAAAGTGGCGCCTCACCAGAACCGAGGGACAAACCACTATCGTATTACACAACGCGTTATCAACACAAGTTCATCTATACCGTTTTGGTTTCCGACAGCCTAGGGTAACGTAAAAGGGCATACGACTTCTCCAGGCCTCCTCTCATTTCACTACTTTTGTTGCCGTGAAAAATTTTGAATACAGCACCAAGAAATAATGCTTAAATGAAAGTAGCTTTTTCAAGACAATGCTGGACGAGGATTTATGGCATATGACGTTGTTTTTAGCGGGCAAAATGAGCTTTAAAAATCATAATTTAAGGCCATTCCTCTCCAAAAACACTAGTAAAACAGTGTTTACAATACACAGTCTATTGTATCATGATTTTTAAAAGAGACCCTCAATCAAAGCATTTACACAACCGTAATGACTTTTAATGGGATTTGAGGTGCAATAGTTTTCGAAGTCCAATTCTAGACGTGATACTGCTACTGCAGTGATGACCTGGTTGTAATTTACCATCAGACGTCCACAGATCGATGGGGATTGGAGGCATATAAATATGCATATATGGCGAAATCGGTCACTTTGCTGTCACAGTATGTTCGTATTTCGAATCTTGATTATAAGATTAGTTGAATTTGTTTTATTGCGCTCACCTCCTATTTGTTGTGGATTTGAGTGTGTATTGGTGCTGATAATGTGAGTTTGGTCGCGTGTTCGATCGCTTTTGTACATGAATTTCCTTCGTTAATTTTTATAGAGGGCATTAATACATTCTTAGGTTTTCCGGAATGACACATTGAATAAAAGCGTTGATTATGTGCTGATTTTAGTAATGTTTATATTTCCATCGACGGACACTAAAGTAAAATGCCATAACAGACCTGCAAAACGTGCTTACGATCAAAACAGGATTTTATATATAAATTTTCCTGCTCGTATGTCACAACTAAATATTTTTGGGCGAGAAATGTGAAATCATGTATTTGGTCAGAATTTACCCTTTCTGACTCATCGGCAAAGGTAAATGAGGTTATAAAGCAATCATTCTCCTTGAGAAGGGTGATTTCATCGAAGAGTGATTGCGACCTCGCGAGTCTGTGTGCAATAAAAATGTCGTAGATGATGGGGCCGCACATCTTGTTTGGTCGCGTTTATAAAAGACATTGGGGTCTCTAAAGCAAAGTTAGGTGCGTTTTTCTCATTTGACTTATTTTAGGTCTCATTTCGGTGCAAAGCTTGAGTATCTGCTCTCATCGAGAGCAGAAATAATCAGTCGCATGCATAGGCCACCGCCTGCAGAAGGCAACAATTTAGAAGAGCTTTTAGGCGAGGAACCGGTCCCACCGATACCCGTTTCTAAGCCCTATGTTCCTGTTTGGCCTGATGAAAAGGCCGCTGCCTACTGCGCTCTTACTCCACCGTTGGAGACTTTTATGGTTGTTCCTGATGAAACAAGGCGGGAACAATTCTTCCGCGTAAGTTTGACATTGCTTGCTAATTTGTTCACCGAAAATCGTGTAATTTCAGGGAATCTCGTTTTTAGACTGCCCGCCAAGATGACATGTTAATTGGTTCCGTCAGTGCGATTCAGGATTCTGGCTTGATCATCACACTGTTGGCTTATGATCAAGGACCTCGTCGTGATTTTGATGGACTTAGGCTAACCGTACGTCATTTGCTTTATAATCCCAACTTCTATCATGCCGCCTCTGAAATTGCTAGGTTCTCTCTTTGAGACCCACTTGCCGCATTCCCGGGTTCCATAACCCAGGTGTCCTATGAACTTTTCGGTATGGTTGTTTACTTCCAACGAAATCATTGTGGAAATTGCGATGCAGAGGCCCGTAGCGGTGCTTTTGGAACACATTGATATTGGCCAGGATTAACTATTGCGAACTCAGTATAGTGTTCCCTCTTAAGTGCGTATTTGCTGCCTTATCGTTTTGGCCACTTTTTGGTTCTAGCACAACATAATTTATCGCGTTACTAGACTCAAATATTCGGCTTAAAGTTTCGATAGTCATAAACTGCAGATCCTACCAGGTACTGTGCACGCAAGACCCCGATTGCAACAATTCTTGCAAGAATTAAGGATGCCAAAGTTGACGGCAATGAACGCAGTTGTCTGCATGAGTCGTCTACCACTTTTCCCTTGTGTAACTAAAATTATCCTACTGTTGACAAAATTACAAAGTTTTCTTTTTTAATTTTTCTCTTCAAGGGTTTTTGTCCAGTTCGTCAGCTTCCGAAATACGCAACTCACGGAAATGCTCTTGACGCTTTTCAGATGGGCGATAAAGTGAGGGGTAAGTGGGAGTCTTCAATGGTAGTTATCTATTTTGATGTGTCTAAGTAACCCTTTGCTCTTTTCTTCAAGCCTTCATTCTAGATGTACACCACTCTGGTCGTCTGATTTTAAGTATGAATGAAAAAGCTCTCAATACCAATCTCTATGGTGACATTACCTTGGTAATGCTCGTTTCGTATACACGCTTCCGTCCCTTAGAGTCAGTCCTTACTTCTTTTCCTTTTTCAGGGAATCATTTCCGATGACGATTTACCACTGCATTATAGGTAAGATCTGTTTCTGCTTTATCACGTTATGTCGTGTAGGAAGCTCCAAAATCTTGATGGGAAGTCCTTTGAAGCTTGTCTTCTGGGAACGCCACAGTTCCGAAATCCCGATGGTCTTCGTGTTCTCTGTTCCAGATTTGGCATTCCACGAGCTTCCGCCTGTAGCTTGTTGCTCTCAATGGCCAAGTGCGCTTTCTGCCTTTTCAATATGATCGCACTTATCTGTTTTTGACCAATTTTCCTGTCTTATCAAGAATTAGTCTTCCAAAGCCCGAAATGGCCTGTGAACTGCGACGTGTACAGCTTTACAACATGTCGATGAGGCAGTAAGTTTCTTCCGTGTTCGTTTTGTTCACTAACTCACATTTTTAGCGTGGCCCAAGGTGTTCGATACTTCAAGGATGGTCGGAATACTGAGGCACTTCAGTGTTACAATTTTGCCATTGAAGTGGAGAATAATAACGCCGATGCCTACGTTGCTCGCGGTGCTCTGTGAGCCTAGATTTATATCATTTCTGCCTCATTTTCTCGATTCGTTATCTGAGCCTACCTTCCTCCGCCTAGGTATGCGTCCATTGGTACGTATGTCAAGGCCATCGACGATTTGGAGAAGAGCCTAAGCCTTCAGCCGAATCACGCTAATGCAAAGAACTACCTTGGTCAGACACTTCTGGCCTATGCTTGCGAGTAAGTCTCCCTACTAGTCTTCTTCTCAAACAATTGTATTCCCCCTTGACTTTTTCCTTTCGACCAGACTAAATTCAAAAGATCTCACAAAAGCTGAACAGCTACTTCGAAGGGCCCTCGATTTGGATCCAAACAACGTAGAGGCTCGTGAGGCTCTTCGAGATCTACCAGGTGGAGGAAGTACTAATACTAACGTAAATCAAGGTCGCGATGTCAGTATGGTGCGTTCAGTTTGAAAGATAGTAATGCTTAAAACGCTTTTTTTTAGCATCTACTTTTCCCCACTAATCAGCGTTCATGGTCACGATCGCCCTCGCTGCCGTCGGGAACCAATATCGCTAGCAAACGGGGCAACGTCCCGATGGGCATTCAGCAGCGTCACGGTGATCGTTCACCTCCTGCCTCACCACCGGGCGGTTCCCAACGAGCTGATCAGTTCTCTCGATTCGAGAGGTCACGCGCAGCTCTCGAACAACTTGTCAATGAGGATCGATCGAGACGAGAAGCCATGCGGAGAGGCGGTGCCGGCGGTCGCCCCGGATCTGGGGACGATTTTCAGTCGCCACTTTGTAGGTTTACTTTCCCAGCATATTTGGTCTCTAAGGCTTCTCAGACAAGCATGAGATGAACATGTTCACGCTAATGCCTCCTCTAAAAGCGAAAGTTTGCTCTTTTACGTCTGAGGCCTTATGCCGTCAGGTACAAATGATACAGTGTCATGATCAAATGGAGGCAAGAGTCACGATCGGTGCTGAGCATGGTCGCGCTAAAGGACCCTCCGAAAGCAAGTCCATTTCTCCACACCTGAGGTGTTGTGCCTGGGGGTACTAAACGATGGAACAGGTCGAATCGACACGATTTAACACCGATTTTATATTGGAGGCAAGAGTCATGATCGGTGCTGAGCTCGGTCGCGCTAAAGGGCCCTCCGAAAGCAAAAGTCCATTTCTCCACACCTGAGGTGTTGTGCCTGGGGGTACCAAACGATGGAACATGCTGAAAATTGCAAAGCAGCAACATATTGCATTGCCGCCACTTTCAAGTTGGCCGTCTTTTAAGGTCTATTGGTCGCCACACTTTCTTATACTGGTTTTCTCCTAATTTGGTGCTGGGTTGTTTCTTGCCGCCGTTTCATCTTTTCCTATGTCATTTTTGTTAAGCTTTACTAGTTAAGTATGCAATCTATATCATAGCATTTTTCACTTATTTCTTCTGTCCCTTGCTAATCTTCTTTCCCTTTAGCTCGTGGTCGCTACGGGGATGATCGCTATCACGAAGACGTACGTTATTTTCCCATATAATGCTATTACATGTTCCAACCCGGTCTAATTCCATATTTGTTCCTCCTGCAGGTCAAGCGAGCAGACAAGTGCAGTGCCCATATGGAGAAGAGCAATCTGGCCAAAATTGTTATCACTCGAGATCGCGTGAGTTCCCTACATACCGATATTTAAACTCCTAACTTTTTTCGGTTCTACGAGTGAGGAAAAGTACCGAAATTTTTTTGCTATACCTTCTCTCCTATTGAGCAGCATCAAATGTTTCCTGGTCGAATTACAAATGCTTTTTCCCAATTGTGCTTCTATCAATTTTTATGTTCAAAATATGGTTGCCACCCTTGCAGCCCCGGTGACACTTTATTTTGTGACGTTTGTGAAATGTGGGCTTCGACTCTGGTCTCCTTCCCTTTTTAAGCTCATTCGACTAAGACATGCATCGGAACCTCTCTTTAAGTTATTGTGTCGCAAACTTTTGCCAGATGCAGTAAAGCTGGAGAACTCGGGCTAGTTACTGATTGTTTGGGTCATTGCTTTTGGGAATGCTGCTCGTTTGTTTCTTTAGCGTAAGACTATCCACTTCAGGGTCGAATGAATTGGGCTTAGCCGAATCGCCAAAACACTTATACCATATGTCGGCTTTGCTTTTCAACAAAACTCAAACTCCTGATCCCAAAAAGGAGAAAACTAGCATTTGGGACGACAACTGTCACCCATTTGTAACATCGATGATGGGTATTTACAATCGGCAAATAACCTATGCTTGGCTGAATAAAGTACTTTGGAGATGCCAATCTTCAGAACTAGTACTAAGGGAGCTCCGAATCGCCCTTATAGCCTTACAAATCGCCGCCTTACTATGTCTGAAATGAAAATTTTTAAACTTTGACTCGTCAAGTAGTTCTTTAAATATCTCCGCTGCTGAATACAAGTTCATTCTTTTGGATAGTAACAAAAAACCAGGATCTAGTGCTAATACTTACCTTATGCTTCATGTTTGCTTTAGTTATTTGGATTAAATTGACACGCAAATAAGGCATTGGTGAATCAAGTCATTTAAAAAGAATTTAGTTCGAATTAGAGCTCAGTTCAAACGATTTGTCTTGAGATGGTCTATCAAGCCTGGTGAAACCTTGACGTCCTTTGCGTTCGATGGTGTACTGGTTTATCACATCATTTCGATGGGACAACATCGTCCTCCTTTGATTGCAACATCCGTCTGTGATAATGACAAGTTAGCAATGGTGCTCAAAAGTAGGGACAGTGGTATTTCACGAGGGTCGTTGAAGCCAAAGCGAGACTTAGAAATTCCTGAAGAACTATTTTTAAGGAGCGGAAACTGCTTTTTCTATGCGAGATAGTTACCTGCTGCTATGTGTACTTCACATGCCCTTGAATTTAACCAATACCTGGGAATACTTGGGTGCATGAGGATTTGCTGGTACAAATGATTCATTCGAAGGTAACCTGCCTTCATTTCAATGTCAGATTTTTGGTATCGGGCGTGTTCACTGTACTAACAGTAAGACTCATCTTTTGCGCAAAATTGCGACGTCCAGGCTTAGGTGTTTCATGTCCTGAATATTCGGGAGTGTCTATTGCGACGGTGAGCTGGGAGCCACCACTGCCAAAATCGACATTATTAGAACGTCTATGCAACGTTAATGCTACTCAAATGCTGCCGCAGAGAACCTGAATGTTCCACTACCGTACCGTATTGTGCTCCAAGTTTTCTGTGCAACGTCTGCGGGTTTGGGGTCTACCCTTTTACCCTCAGGAAACTTAACACTGTTCCAAGCATTCACTGCTGCTCTTGATTTTTACTTTGATTAAGAGTAACCAGAATAAGTCAAACCGCGTCATATACTTCATGTAATGGCAGTTGAAACCTACCACCTACAAATGCCTGGAGGATTTCAACACCGTTCGCTTTCTTACCTATAGAATTACGATTTTCGATTTCACTTGAACGCTTTTAATATGTCATCTTCCAAACGTTGGCATTGTGTCGAAATGTATTTTGGCATTATAAAAGTCTGCAAGGCACTCACCCTAATCATGAGCTCATTTCCATCTTTCTCTCTTCTAAGCTAAGGGGAATTTTAAACTATTTTAGTCGGGTCGCGTGATTCGCTGCGAGGACGAAGGCCAATGGCGAGAGGACAGTGAACGCGAGCGTGGTGGTGGTGAAATGGGCATGGGCCAGCCTCGTGGTCGTCCTCGCGGTGGCGGCGTTGGTGGTGGTGGCGGTGAACGGGACTACCGGAGGTTAGTGGTTTTTATGCCCTCGAAACTACCTCGTCTAAGGTAGAGCTGCATCAGACAATTTCAGACTTATTAAACTTAGGTTCATTCCCCTTATAGAATCATTTAAAAGTGCATAAATTTTCCAGGGTCTGTACTGTTCTATAGCTGGTACGCTATAAAGCGCTTTGTGATTGGGGATTACACTATCTTTGATTTCTTGGGCGTTTTAAAAGGAACACTTTGCCGGTAACCACAGAGGCTTATCTCGAATTCCAAATATCAGTCCATATCATGTACTAATGCTGCTAATTTATCTCTATATTGTAGTTACTAGTAAACATGTCTAAGAGTTGAGTCATTCATAAGCAACTTTGGTTTAGAAAATGAGACCGAAACAACCGTTCTCATTCATCGCATCTAGGTTTGGTGTTATCGTTTTCAATTTTGCTGTCAGCAGCTTTGCACACGGCTTGGGGTTCACTTTTGTCGCCTTCAAGTTAGGATTCCTCATTGCGACTCGCCTCGGTGTTTAAAGATACTTTTGAAAATAAAACGAGTATTTCCTCTCTTGTTAGATCATTAGGCTTTGGTCACTGGCTAGCCACAGTTTGCAGATTTTTTTGCAAAAATAGTGCTATAAATTTTACTTGACTCAGGAGTTCACTTTAAACGTTTTTTTCCATAAAAATAGGCAAAACAGCTATTTGAGATCTCCCTCAGGGCTGAAAATTCCAGTTGTTTGGCTAAAGCTTGGGATTTTCTACCCTGCCATGAAAACTGGATGTTTATCCACAAATAAAATGAGACTTTTAAGTCCCCCACGGATGTCGTTCAAGTGAACTGCTCTCTGAGGATTTTTATATCATCTGTTGTATTGTGTCGGTTTTAACTGTGAAAACAAACTCGTTGGTAAAGGGGGCTGTCTGGCATGTAGTGTGCTGGTGCTGCTGCCTGTGTATTGAAGTAGAAACTAGAGATACATCATCACTGTTCTGCTAACGTGGAGGGTGAATCGTTAGTGTTCCATGAGGTTTCCAAGGTGACGCGCACGCATAAAGCATGTTTGATGTCAATGTATCGGAATCACGCTTGATGTTCTTTTGGGTGATCTGTTCCAATGCAACACCACATGTCACAACATACAATAAATGTTTTAATAGGTCCTTATAAATGCGAAGAAGCTCACATCCTCTTTCAAAGGGAGATCGACTTCTTTGCTCCCGATTTAATTGGTCTCGAAGATCTGTCAGATTGGTAAAATGATTCGTTTTATGCTAGTGGTAAGACTTTCTTCCCCGGGAATAACTTGTAAACAAAGCATATCTTTCATATTTGGTGGTTCAGACCTAGTCATTACTGCCTGAGATTACTGTAATACGAGAATAGAATGGTTGAGTGTTTAAACACTTGCTAGTTCGAGCTTCCTCAGTTCACGTCCAATCAGCTTATGCTTGGTTTCTATTCAACAACTTCGCTTCGTGGCATTTTTTCCCAAAATTATATCATTCACTTGCACTATTCTACTTCAACAGGTACGATGACAATAGGGAAAGAGACTGGCGTGATGATCGTCGAAGGTACGACAGTGAGCGCGATTTCCGAGACGATCGTGACCCTAAGAGGTAATTTTCCGCCACATTGCACACGTTTCAATATATAACACCTTTTAACCCATTCCTCCGTCACTTTTTAGACGTGAAGACTGGAAGAGTGGGGATGATCATGGTTCGTCACCAAGTGAGTTTTCATATATTTTTCGAAATATTTCACGGACCCGTATCCTCTGATCTTAATTCCTTTTCATTGCCGACTTTCAAAGGTCAAGAACGTCAGGACGAGCGCCACTTGCCTCAGGCCGAGTTCCAATACGACAGAAGAGTAAGCATTTCCGTCGGCTTCTTTTTCGATTCGACACCAGATCAGTTCTTGCTCTAATCCTGATTTTGCAGGTGTACACTCCACCGAAAGACGCTATGGAAGTTGAAAACGGGGTGCTAACGCATTACGTTAACAAGAGTGACTTGCCTCTTACCTCAAAGACTCTTCAGGACCGAGTTCAACAGCGTTTGAAAGACATTGAGCGTCGTCATCGCGGCGAGCCTGGCGTTGGCGGCGACGGGGGTGATGGTCATTGGCGTGGACGTGGTGGATTCCGTGGGGCAGGTGATCGTGGTTTCTATCCGCGCGGACGCAGTAGCGGTCCCCGGGGCGCTCCGCGTGGCTCCTGGCGTGGTTCATGGCGTGGAGATGATGGTGGTGAATGGAGGGGTGGCCGTCGCGGTAACTGGTACGGTAATCGGTAGGTTAAAATCCTTTTACTCATTTCATTTTTGCTACGCTAAATAATTCCGGGTTGCATTTCCTACTTCGCCTTTCTAGCGATCGATACGGCGGTGATAGACGAGGTGGCGGTGGTGGTGTAGACGGAGGACCCGAGGACTTCCGCAAGCGCCCGCGTCGCTACGATCGCTCGCGTTCCCGCTCCGCTTCGAGATCGCGTTCTAGATCACCAGTGTCACGGTCGCGTCGGTCGAGGGACAGTAGGTCGATGTCGAGGTCTCGCTCTCATTCGTACTCTCGCTCAATTTCGCGTTCACCCTCCCCTTTCCCTAAGAAGTGAGTTGATCAACTTTGGAAGAAGCTAATTTAGGAGGCCGTCCCTCGAAATATCTGTGAAAGAGCCGTATATGGTGCACGGGTCTGAGAGGATCCGGTTATTATTGAGATCAACAGGGGCTACAAATAGTGGAAGGCTGTAATATCGCTCTAGGTCACATGATAGGTACCCTTTATCTCGCAAGTATTACGTTCCCAGTCTGGTAGACTACGACAGGGGGGACCAATAACTTTACTGGCGTGGAGAGTCCGTGTTC